TTAACTCGCCTGCGCTGCGCCTCTCGCGCGAATCCGTGATCTTCGTTATCGTCGCTATCTCGCCGCTAGACGCAGTTATGCACGCGGCATTACCCTCCCGCCAGAGTGAGCGTCGTCTGGACGCTTACCAGTTAGAGATGCGGCTAGCATGTGTTTTCATTACTTATAATGGTAAGGTTTCATGCGGACCACGTGCACTGTCTCAGACAGACGCTGGCGATGTTTCGAAATGGAAAAGGCTGTCGGGCACGACTTCTTACGTCACGTCGCTAAGAGGGCCCAAAACCTTGTGGTAGGGTTCAAAGTATCGGCGTAGGAGTTTCTCCGAGGGGCCTTACCGTCGTACAGGAAACCAAATCAGACTCTTTATCACGGTTGATAAGCGATGAATCGATGGCGAAGGTTGTACAGTTGGGTGTCAAGATGCTGCATGCTGGTTGATTATTCTGATGCGGGCAAACTTCCTTGCTTCCTCGGCGCGCTCAGTGAAGTCTGGGGCGTCTGTCTTTGAATCATCGCAACCATAAGGCAGCATGGCGTCAAGCATTGTAGTAACTTCTCTGCCATAAATTAGTGCGAACGTCATTTTCGTTCTTTCCTGCGCACGGTATTATACGCGAAAGTGATGTACGGCAATATTCAGGTCCCAATTTTGTGTTCCACGTCGAAGTACATGCAAAGCATGTCAACGATCGTCTTGTTACGTCGTTCTGTAAGCCCATTCGTTTGTGGGCGGTAAGCTGTCGTCTTTCTAAGCGCTGGGCAACTAAGCGCAAGCACAGAGTGCAAAAGCTCAGCTGTAAACGTGGTACTTTTTTCTGTTATGACTAGAGCTAGAGCTTCATGTCTCAGTACAATGTTCTCAATGAAGAATCGGGCCGCTTCAGCAGCAGTACCACTCGCGATTGCCTTGGTCTCCGCGTATCGAGTGAGGTAGTCCGTCGCCACGAATAACCCATTTGTTGCCGCTGTCCGATGTTGGGAATGGACCCAGCAGATTCATTCCGATTTGAGAAAACGGAGTTTCTGGCACTGGCACAGGATGCAATAGCCCAGTGGGTTTGATAGGTGGTAACTTGCGCCGCTGACAGTCAATGCATGTTTGGACGTAATGGTGCCGCTGCGCTGCGACTCTTGGTCAGTAGTATTTTTCTTTGAGGTGTGTAAATGTTCTTGTGAAACCGAGGCGGCCCGCAGTTGCTTCGTCATGGTAAACTTGTAAAATTTCGCTGTGGAGAGTTTCAGGAACTACCAGCCGATAGCATCTGCCTCTTGATGAGAAATTCCTTTTGTAGAAAATTCCGTCCAGTTAACAGAATGATGATACGTTCTTTGAAAACACTCTTCGTGCATTGGCGGCTCGTTCGTTCAAGAGTTCTATAAGCGAGTTTAGCTCCCGATCATATAGCCGCATCAACAACTCCTATAAAAGCCTCTGAATTTGTCACTCTTCCTACCCGAAGATTCAATTGGTGACCTTGATACACAGTCAGCGTCCAAGTGTTGTCTTCCGGACTTGTAAATTACGGTCATGTCGTACTCTTGGAGCCGTAAGCTCTAACGTGCGAAACGTCCATATGGGTCTTTCATGTTGGTCAACCAACAAAGAGAGTGGTGGTCGCTTACGACTTGGAAAGAGCAGCCATATAAGAACGGGCAGAACTTCGCAACTGCCCAAACGACAGCCAGACACTCCTTCTACAGTTGTTGAGTAGTTGGACTCAGCGCATGTCGACGTTCTGCTAGCGTAGGCAACTATTCTCTCACATCATCTTGGCACTGGACAAGAACAGCACCTAGGCCCACATTGCTGACGTCTGTGTGGATGGCTGTTGGTGCATCCTTGTCAAAGTGAGCGAGGACGGGTGGGGTTTGTTGACGCCTGCCTGTAGCTCGTTGAACGAAGCTTCTTGCTCTTAAGCCCATACAAACGCAACGTCTTCCCTCTGTAAGGCGGGTGAGTGGAGAGGCGATGTGTGCAATGTCTGCTATAAATCACCGGTAGTGTGCGCCGAGACCCGAGAAACGCCTGACCGCTTTTTAATCAAGAGGCCTTGCGAACTTTGTGAAGGCTGCAGTTTTTTCTGGGTCAGGCCTCACACCTTCGCGACTGACCACGTGTCCCAGGAACTGAAGTTTGTTAAAGCCAAAGTGGCATTTTTCGTGTTTTAGTGTGAGTCCAGTGGACCGTATAGCTTGACCGACTCACAGTGGCCGCTTTAGATGATTTTCAAACGTGGCCGAAAAAACTATCACGGCGTCGAAGTACACAAGGCACGTTTTCAATTTTAGACCGGAGAGAATGATATTCATGAGTCTCTGAAATGTGGCTGAGGCTGAGCATAGACCAAAAGGGAGGACTCTGAATTCATTAAGTCCGTCTGGCGTCACGAAGGCGATCCTTTCTCGGTCACGCTCATCTACTTCTATTCGCCATTACCCACTTTTAAGTTCCATTGACCAGGAGTAGCGCGCATGCCGTAGCCTGTCCAATGAGTCATCAATCCGTGGTAAGGAATAAACGTCTTTTTTCGTGACGTGGTTCAGCTTACCGTAATCGATGCAGAAATGCTAACTAGCTGCGACCTTTCTTCTTCACGAGTACCACTGGCGATGCACAAGGACGCTTTTATGGTTGGATTAAATCATCCTCTAGCATCTTCTTGACTTGCTGCTGGATTACCTCACGTTCTTTCTGCGATCAGTCCTTTCTGAGCGAGCGATGGGTTCTGTCGCATCAGTCTTGCTGTGTCTTCCGTAATGATACGATGTTTAGTCAGAGGCGTTCGACCCACTAATAACGTCGATGAGAAGCAGTCCTTGAACTGGCTGAGCAGCTCCACAAGACGACATCTTTCAGATGTCATCTTGTGGAGACTACATGACAGTGGTGGCACGCAGTCGTCGTCGCCAGCCGCACGTAACACCCTGGGCTATTTGTCTGGACCATGGGTCACAGGCTTGTCAGCGGCGAATATAATCACACCATCATGTATGTTCACCACAGCACCGTACTCTCTTAAAAAGTCCATTCCAGTATCAGAGCGTCGCAGCTCTCCGGTAGGATCAGAAATGTGGCTACGAAAACCACATTCTCAATCGTGTGTCTTGCTGTACATTTTCCCGTGGGTGTCATTGTCTGGCCTCTATCACTTTGAATATAAGGGCCCGTCCATTACGTCGTGATTTTCTTGAGTTCGTCTGCCAATCGTTCACTCATTAGAGAAAAGACTGCACCCGTGTCGACTAAGGCCGTTATCCTAATGTCATCAATCGTCACAGCGAAGTCAGCACAGTTTTGTCGGAGGAGTCTTCATTTTCATCTCTTACGTGTTTCAGCAGCAGTGGGAAATTTTCGGCAATTCGATGGCTTGCATCTGCCGCCCCCTTCCCACCGAGGTCGCTGCTTTTTAGTTTACACACCGTGGGCTGGGAGACCGACCTCTAACAGCGTCAGCAAAACTACGGCGGCTTGGTGAAGCAAAACAAGCCAGAGATGGTGAGTGCGTCCGGAAGGCAGCAGAGCCTTCCCACCGGCCAGTCTGGTCGTCGGGAACAAACAGCTGCTCTTTGACACCACTCATGAGATGGCTTAGCTTTTGAGCCTTGGGCATGTTGGGGTCCCCGCAGTGGCCCAAACGAACCATATCCTCAGCAAACACGGTGACGCTCTCATGCAGCTGTTGGGTGCATTCCTCAAAACTGCATTGTTGGTTTTACGCGCCGGTTCACGTTACCAAAGGTGTCAAGAAACCGACGACAAAATTCCTCCCATGTCGTCAATGTTGCCTCGTGGTTTATAAACCACGTCTTCGCACCGTCTTCAAGGGCGAAGTATGCATGGAAGAGCTTCTCATCGAGACTCCAGTAGTTCGAATTAACTACCCTTTCAAACTGTTCAAGTCAGTTTTGCGAATCTTCATTCGGCCGGCCATGAAATGATTCAGGAATGCGCATATTCTGGACCGTCAACTGTGCAGGACTCCTTGAAAAGGCCATTTATTTAGCAGGGGTGGCTGTCGGAAGTGTTGCTCCTTCTGAAAGGCCAAATTCTGGTCCAATACCTTGAAGGCGACAGCTTGAGCGGTGCACAGGCGTCTCCACGCATGACTGTCTCGTAGGGCTGGACTCGGGGCTTCTCACAGGGGTGCCGATCATGAGGTGATAGTACCCAGCACCTCCACCAGTGTCGCGGGTTATAAAATGCAGGGGGTTTGTTTAGGAACACGGAGATGAGAACTCGTAGAAACGCTCTCAAAAGAGGGCCGCTAAGATTGCCGTCTTCTTCACTCACCTGCGTTGCGCCTCTCGAGCAAATCTACTATCTTCATTGTCGCCGCTATCTCGCAGCGAGACGCAGCTTTGCACGCGGCAATATGTACCAGGATTAGCATACACTAGAACCTGAATCACCATGTACACGAATATCTCTCAGAGTTTCCTGCGTGACGGCAATGTTCCTTTGCTAAACACACACATCAAAGCGTCGGATCTCGTAAGCGGCCGAAAAAAAATCCAGTGTATAATTTCTTGTGATCTAATGCAGGGGCGTAGCCAAAAATTTTTTTCTGGTTGGGGAAGGGGTTCAAGTTCAAGCATACTTATGTATGTTCATGCGTGCGTCTGTATGTGTGCGAAGTAAGCGCAAGCAAAGCTGAAAAAATTCGGGAGAAATTCGAATCCCCCATTCCTCACGTCCCGGCTATAACCATGACCTCTTGCTATTCACGACATACTTACTGATAGCTCATCCGTGCCTTCAGCAGAAAACTTTTCACAATATCTCTTATGGTTTCCGCTGGCTGCAACAATATAATTTACCAAAATGTTCAATTTTGCATAAGCAAGCCAACGCCGCAGCCTTTTCCGATGGAACTCGAAGAACCTTCAAGACAGTGGGCAGCCAGGTACCGAGGATCATGCGCATTGCCATGCATATGAATGACATGCATGGCTCTACAAGGTGAGCCTCTACATATGCATGGTGGAACATTATGAATGACATGTACGTGGTCTACTTTATTTTATTACTGGCCGTAGTAGGTCACTGTTAATTGACCAGAAGCTTTTCCGTATTTGGCTTTGCATCTATAGCTACAACTTTAATCAGGAACATGTTCTTAGCGTGTTCCTACGTCCTTGAACTGACACCTTCAGGCGTCATTTCAATTCCAAGAAAGCTTGCGGCATTCTTCCACAGCAGCTTCTCCTGCGTTAGTAGAGAAAAAAAAAGAGAGAGAGAAGATGTTGTGTAGGTTAGCTTGTATGAGTCTAACTGCGAATTCATGAACTAGTTAGAAAACGGGCAATAGCGTTCTCTTTCAAAAACCAAGAAATACAACTCAGGGGAGAAGTTTCCGCAGCATGCGATAATTCCTTGAACATTCTAAAGTGAAAGCCTGCCGCAGACTCAGTAATACATAACTAATATGTTCTGGTACCAGAAAGAGAGAAAGACAAAGAAAAGACAGGAGGGCAATTATAGGAAGACTCCGTTTTGTTACCTTCTACTTGGGAACGGGAAAACGAGGTGTAAGAAATGGCAGAGAAGAAAAAAAAAGTTTGTGACAGTAGTAAAGGAAAGCGTCTAGAACAACGTCTTAATACTACACAGAAACACTGTCCGCGGACAATGAAAGTTTGCCACCCAGTCCGGTGTCTTGCAGAAACGGTAACAACGCTCTCAGAGCGGCTCATGTTGCAGACTGGGTAGAGCAGGGCCCCAGGATCAGTGGCAGTGAGCGAGAGCGTGCATATATATACATGCATGACTTCGACAATCTCAGTTCATTTCGCTGTTCCTCTATGCCAACATGAATGAAGCTTTCTAGAGCTGCACGAGGTGTTGCACGGGCTCCGAGATTGACCCACCTTTGACCAAGTGATGACGTCACTGCTGACGTCAATAGTGACGTATGTCACGTGTGTGTTAGTACCACTTAATTGGCGTAATACCTTTCGCTTAACGGATCACTCAAACAGATACTCAAAGCTTTGACTTTGATGGTACATTCCCGCTTTGTCAGAGCCTCACAAAGAAAATATACAACCCACATATTCGACATTGCAGCGTGCACTACTTTATTGATAAACCTGGAGAGCAACTTTAGAACTTCAAATGCAGAGTATCAACGAAAATGAAAACCCTCTTACAGGAATTGAAATATTTGTATTGCCACCTGTAGGAGTGGGTGACAAAAGGCCACAAGAGGAGTGCAGACGCTATCCGCCTCTCGAGTGCACGCCCAAGTGACGCATACAGCAAGAGTCCTGCTGCTCTACCTCGATGTCCAATAAACCCCTTCTGGACCTCTAAGTTGACGTTACAGTATGCACAACAATTAGTAGCATAAGACGAGGGCCTTACTGCTCAATGTTTTGGGTTCACTTTTCAAGAGTAAAAATGTCAGTGCAAAGCATATACCTTCAGCGAATCTTGCAAGCCACTGGTCTCGATAAGTCTGCCGGGTCTCTCTATTTCTCCCAGAGGGTAAGGGTAGTCACTTCCCAGCATCACTCGGTCCTAAAGATAAAGTAGGGCGACATTCATGTCGGAACCTTGTGCCATGCAGGTTTACTTCAAACCAATAGAAACGGAAAAATTATGCACAAGAAAGATTATTAATCCCTTTTCATGGTCATGAGTGATTTCAACATTCCTGGAAGTCTAACGTGCTTAATACTACTTCTGTTAAGCAGTTTACTGCGTGTACTTTCATTTAAGAATGCGTTTCTGAATAAATTATCATGAACATGTATATATACGCCAGCCATACGGAAGAGACTCAATATTGCACCGACAAACAGCCTCAGCCTGACCCTTCGCGCAGAACTCCCGGCCCGAGCCCATGCTGGCCCCACCGTGAAAGCCAGAGTTTCTGGGCACTATGCAATAATACACAGATCTAGTAACGAAAGCTTGCTATAACTGCACGCTTATTTATTGCTTCGCTTTAAGATCTGTATTTTCTCACAGAGCTTGTTCCTAGTGTAAGGCGTAATGAGCTTACAACAGCGGCTGATTTTGAGAGGCAGTTGTGCGCCATCGCTGCCATTCGACGCAGCTGTCGCACACAATGAACAACAACATTTAAAGAAAATAGGGTATTGAGGGTGGTTTGAACACAGGCACTCTGCTTGTCATTTGACTATGCTAGCACGTAGCCACGAGATTGGTTTCAACTTCTTCATAAAACGACCCTCTGCGGGCAGCGAATCGCTGTATTGCACGGCAGAAAAGTGAAATAGCAGGCGTCACACAATGTAATTATGTAGGAAGTATGCGTTTTAAAGGGAGACGCGATTCCAAAATAAGAAAATATTCTTTATTCTGTCATCTTAAGACAATTATTCACTAAGGTTTTACCCTCATTTCAAATATGTGATCAGTTTTGCAGTAAGTTGCGTAGTTTTTGTGTAGTACGATCACAATGTGAAAATATAGCTACTTTCAGACAGACATTTTCTGCCACTGCATTAATATCATTATCAGTAAAGAATGCCTGATATTGCTGCACATTAGCCGTAGACTGCAAATAACTATCAAAATGTGTATAATACAGCTAAACCAACTAGAATAGTTGTAGTGTAAAAAGAGTTGAAGGCCTAACCCATACTGATTGCGTACTTAAAGTTCTTTATAAATTCGTTGATGATATCGTAACGATGTTGAAGGACTCGGGGTGTAATAAAACGTATTTATTAAAGGGCGAACCTGTGCCCACAGCTCAAAGGGACTATGGTCGTAGCACGTTACAGCAGAACACCAAAGATGTCACCTTCTTCTACTTCTTCAAGAGGAGTTCCAAGCACGTGGCGCACATCAGCCGTGGCCAGCTGGGTTCTCGTGCTATCATCATCGTTTCTGCGCAACACTAGACGGCGCGCATGTTTGTCCCTGTGCACGCGGTGATGGGCGCGTTGTTTGAATGCAAACAGTATGTCGCGGCATAATCCCCCTCCTCATACGCATCGTCCCTATGCGTTAGGCAATGAATAGATTCGTGGTAGGCGTCACTGGTCTTCCGGTGATCTTTTATAGTAAGGCTTCATTCGGACTACATGTACAACCTCTGTAGGGTTGCGGCATTTTGAACTCCCGTGTATAGCGGATCTGACTTGGTAAGTTACATCGCTTACACGATGGAGTACTTCGTAAGGCCCTAAGTAGTTGTTAAAAAAAGTTTTTTAGAAAGTCCACGGTGACACACTGGGGTCCATATCCATACTTTGTCACCTGGTTGAAAATGCGCGTCGGTACGACGCTGATTGTACCAATAGGGGTCGACACGCTGTTGGCGGCGTATTCTGTATCTCGCCATCTGTCGTGCTTCCTCGGCTCTTTGCAGGAAGTTGTCTAGGCCAGGTGGATTGCCGTTTTCATCATTCAGTGGTTACATGGCATCCAGTGGAGTGGTGACTGTTCGGCCGAATACAAGTTCAAATTGTGTCACTCGTGTTGTTTCTTGAAGGACTGTATTATATGCGAACGTGATATAGGGCAATATTTCATCCCACAGTTTATGTTCGACGTCAATATGCATTGAAAGAATATCAGTCAGAGTTCTGTTCAGGCACTCCGTTAGACCATTTGTTTGAGTATGATATGCTGTAGTTCTTCTTTGGTCTGTATGGGTCATTCGCATCAGACATTTCATTAGGTCTGCAGTAAAAGCGAGGCCACCATCTGTAATTACGACGCTGGGTGCACCATGTCTGAGGACTATGTTGTTGATGAAGAACTTGGCAACTTCAAGAGCTGTTGCAGGTTGCAGTGTACAGCGAGTCAGTCTCAGCGTAACGAGTGAGATAGTCCGTGGCTACGACTATTCACTTCTTGCGTGCAGTCGATGTCAGAAATGGGCCTAGGAGATCCATACGAACTTGTTGGAATGGGTCATGCGGTGGTTCTATTGGCTGGAGGAGGCCTGCAGGTTTCACGGATGGAGTTTTGCGTCTTTGACACTCACGGCAAGTTTTCACATATCGCTGAACTAATGATAAAAGTTTTGGCCAGTAGTATTTTAGGTGAATTCTGGCGAATGTACGGCTGACACCCATGTGTCCAGATGTTGGCTCATCATGACATGCGTGCAGAATCTCGTTTCGCAAAGGTGCAGGTACAACGAGTAAAAATTTGTCACCATGAGGCTTGTAGTTCCTCTTGTAAAGGACCCCTTCTCGAAGACAGAACGAAGGAAGCCCTCTAGATAAAGTGCGCGGGACTTTAATGTTCAGTCCTTGGAGACGCTGTAGAAGCGGTAGCAAATCAGGGTCATTTTGTTGTTTTTGAGCGATTTCTGATGCCTGGACGACGCCTTGAAACGGGAAGTCTTCTTCCTCCGGCTCACTCGTCTCCACTGGTGCGCGTGGCAGGCAGTCGGCATCGCTGTGCTTTTTCCCAGATTTGTATACCACAGTAACATCGTACTATTGTAGCCTAAGGCTCTATCTTGCTAGTCGGCCAGAGGGATCCTTACGATTCGCCAGCCAACACATGCAGTGGTGGTCACTGACTGCTTAGAATGGTCTACCGTAGAGGTACGGCCAAAATTTACTTATGGCCCAGATGACCGTGAGACACTCTTTTTCGGTTGCAGAGTAATTTGTCTCAGCTTTAGAAAGCTTGCGGCTGGAATACGCTAGCACTTTTTTTTGGCCGTTTTGCCGCTGGACTAGAATGGCTCCGAGGCTAACGTTACTCGCATCAGTGTGAACTTTAGTTTCGGCAGTCTCATCGAAGTGGGTGAGGATTGAAGAGGCTTGTAGGCGTGTTCTTAACTCATCAAATGCTTTCTGTTGTTCACTTTCCCACATATAGGGCACCTCGTCTTTTGTTATATTAGTAAATGGTTCAGCAATGTTCGAAAAAATTTCAACAAATCGCCGATAGTACGCGCATAAACGCAGGAAGCGACGTACTGACTTCTTGTCTTTGGGTGTCGGAAACTTCACGATGGCAGCTGTCTTTTCGGGATATGGCCGAACGCCGTCGGAGCTGACGACGTGTCCGAGGAATCGAAGCTCTTCAAAACCGAAGTGGCATTTTTCTGGCTTGATGGTCAAGTCTGCTGAACGAATGGCTTCTAATACTGTGCAGAGTCGCTCTAGATGTTGGTAGAATGTAGCGGAAAATATGACAACGTCATCCAAGTACACCAAGCAGGACTGCCATTTAAGTCCCGCGAGGACAGCGTCCATCATTCTCTGAAACGTCGCTGGCGCTGTGCACAGGCCGAATGGAAGCACTTTACATTCGTAGAGGCCGTCTGGGGTTATGAATGCCGTCTTTTCACGGTCGCGCTCATCCACCTCAATTTGCCAATATCCGCGCTTGAGATCAAGGGAGGAGAAGTATTTCCACTCCGTAGTCGATCGAGTGTATCATCGATACGCGGCAGATGGTATACATCCCGTTTCGTTACGCTGTTCAGTTTCCAATAGTCGACGCATAATCGAAGGCTGTTATCTTTCTTTTTAACAAGCCCTACGGGAGACGCCCATGGACTGCTGGAAGGCTGGATCACGTCATTTGAAAGCATGTCCTCCACTTGTTTCTGGATGACGTCTCTTTCCTTTTGCGATACTCGATATGGGCGTTGGTAAATTGGTCTCGTGGCTTCTTCTGTTATAATCCTGTGTTTTGCAATAGCCGTGCGTGGCACCTTAGAGGACGTTGAAAAGCAGTCCGAAAATTCTTTTATAAGGGCGAACAATCGTTTCTTTTGATATACTGAAAGCCTATATTGACGTTAACTGATGCGTCGAAGTTGCAGGTCTCTTGTGGAGTGGTTGGCGTTGTCGCTAAACTCCATAGTTCAGTCGCCATGCAGAACTCGTGGAAATAGGCGATAGCTATACCTTGCGCGATGTGCTGACATTCATTTCCAAAATTCATAAGGAGGGCAACTGAGCGGCCATTCCTTAAGTGAAAAACACCCCTCGCCATGCAAATTCCTTTGTTTAAAAAGAGCTCTACGTTTCCATGCGCTATTCCTTCGTGGTCACAAAATGCTTTCTTTTCAACAAGCACCATTACACTACAGCGTGGTGGCACTGTGACGTCATCATCAACAACGCGCAGAGCAGTAAGACGTCGCTTTTCCGATTCCTCCACCGACATAGCTTGTTCGGTCGAAAACGTTACTCTGGATCTGCGCAGAATAATTATGGCTCCATTGGCTTGCAGAAAATGCATTCCTAGTATAAGCTCCCTTGAACAGTCCGGCAGTACGATGAAGTCAGCAACGTAAGTAAAGCCTCTTATTTCGAGCCTTGAGGTGTATCTGCCAAGCGGTGTAATAGTGTGGCCACCTGCCGTGCGTATCTGTGCCCCACTCCATTTCGTCACAACCTTTTCAGTTCCTTTGCCAATTTGTGACTCATTACCAAATAATCAGCGCCGGTCTATTCCGTATATTTTCAATCCGTCAATTTTCAACCGCAAGCTGAAGTAATCTTCGCACTGCTGCGCTTATCCTCTGTAAACATAGCATCGTCACCTTGACACTGTAATGGAGGATC